GGGGTCCTGCACACGAGCTCTGGGTCGTGGACCGGAGGCACCTCTACCTGGGCAGCGCCAACATGGACTGGAGGGCACTCACACAGGTGGGGGGACCCCAAAATCAACAGGGAGACCCCAAAACTGACCCTACAGAGTGACCCCAACCCTACAGAGTGACCCCAGCCCTACAGAGTGACCCCAAACCCAGCGGCTGACCCCTCTACCTGGGCAGCGCCAACATGGACTGGAGGGCGCTCACACAGGTGGGGGGACCCCAAAACCAGCCAGGGGACCCCAAAACCAGCCTGGGGAACCCAAAACTGACCCTACAGAGTGACCCCAAACCCTACAGAGTGACCCCAACCCTACAGAGTGACCCCAAACCCAACGGGCTGACCCCTCTACCTGGGCAGCGCCAACATGGACTGGAGGGCGCTCACACAGGTGGGGGGACCCCAAAACCAGCCAGGGGACCCCAAAACTGACCCTACAGAGTGACCCCAACCCTACAGAGTGACCCCAAACCCAACGGGCTGACCCCTCTACCTGGGCAGCGCCAACATGGACTGGAGGGCGCTCACACAGGTGGGGGGCACGGGGGGGACCCCAAAACCGACCCTACAGAGTGACCCCAAACCCTACAGAGTGACCCCAAACCCTACAGAGTGACCCCAAACCCAAGGGGCTGACCCCTCTACCTGGGCAGCGCCAACATGGACTGGAGGGCACTCACACAGGTGGGGGGACCCCAAATCCAGCCTGGGGACCCCAAAACCAACCTGGGGACCCCAAATCCAACACAGGAGACCCAAACCCCAGCAACCCTACAGAGTGACCCCAAACCCAAGGGGCTGACCCCTCTACCTGGGCAGCGCCAACATGGACTGGAGGGCGCTCACACAGGTGGGGGGACCCCAAAACCAACCAGGGGACCCCAAAACTGACCCTACAGAGTGACCCCAAACCCTACAGAGTGACCCCAAACCCAACGGGCTGACCCCTCTACCTGGGCAGCGCCAACATGGACTGGAGGGCACTCACACAGGTGGGGGGACCCCAAAACCAGCCAGGGGACCCCAAAACCGACCCTAGAGTGACCCTAAAATCAACAGGGTGACCCCAAACCCAACAGAGTGACCCCAAACCCTACAGAGTGACCCAAACCCTACAGAGTGACCCCAAATCCAGCCAGGGGACCCCAAACCCAACCAGGGGACCCCAAATCCGACCCTACAGAGTGACCCCAAAACCAGCCTGGGGACCCCAAAATCAACAGAGTGACCCTAAACCCAATAGGGATGACCCCAAACCCATCGAGATGACCCCAAACCCAATAGGGATGACCCCAAACCCAACGGGGATGACCCCAAACCCAATGGGGATGACCCCAAACCCAACGGGGATGACCCCAAACCCATTGGGATGACCCCAAACCCATGGGGATGACCCCAAACCCATGGGGATGACCCCAAACCCATCGGGATGACCCCAAACCCATCGAGATGACCCCAAACCCATCAGGATGACCCCAAACCCATCGAGATGACCCCAAACCCATCAGGATGACCCCAAACCCATCGAGATGACCCCAAACCCATCAGGATGACCCCAAACCCATTGAGATGACCCCAAACCCATCGAGATGACCCGAAACCCAACGGGATGACCCCAAACCCAATGGGGATGACCCCAAACCCAACAGAGTGACCCCAAACCCAACTGGGATGACCCCAAACCCAACGGGGATGACCCCAAACCCATCGAGATGACCCCAAACCCAACGGGGATGACCCCAAACCCAACAGGGATGACCCCAAACCCATTGAGATGACCCCAAACCCATCGAGATGACCCCAAACCCATCGAGATGACCCCAAACCCAACGGGGATGACCCCAAACCCAACGGGGATGACCCCAAACCCATTGGGATGACCCCAAACCCAATGGAGTGACCCCAAACCCAACAGGCTGACCCCAAACCCATCGGGATGACCCCAAACCCAACAGAGTGACCCCAACCCTACAGAGTGACCCCAAACCCAACGGGGATGACCCCAAACCCAATGGAGTGACCCCAACCCAACAGAGTGACCCCAAACCCAACAGGATGACCCCAAACCCAACGGGGATGACCCCAAACCCAACAGGGATGACCCCAAACCCATCGAGATGACCCCAAACCCAACGGGGATGACCCCAAAGCCAACGGGGATGACCCCAAACCCATTGGGATGGCCCCAACCCTACAGAGTGACCCCAATCCTACAGAGTGACCCCAAACCCAACGGGGATGACCCCAAACCCAACGGGGATGACCCCAAACCCAACAGGGCTGACCCCAAACCCATGGGGATGACCCCAAACCCAACAAAGATGACCCCAAACCCAACGGAGATGACCCCAAACAGGTTAAGGAGCTCGGCGTCGTCATCTACAACTGCAGCTGCCTGGCCCAGGACGTGGCCAAGATCTTCGAGGCCTACTGGGCCCTGGGCGTGCCGGGGGCCACCATCCCGTCCCCGTGGCCCGAGAGCTTCTCCACCTCCTTCAACCGGGAGACGCCGCTGGCGCTGACGCTCAACGGCTCCGACGCCAGCGTTTACTTCTCGGTACGGGGCACGGGGGGCACGGGGCATGGGGGCATGGGGGGCATGGGGGGGCATGGGGGCATGGGGGCACGGGGGGCACAGGGGGCATGGGGGCATGGGGGGCATGGGGCACAGGGGGCACGGGAGGCATGGGGGCACGGGGGACATGGGGGGCATGGGGGGTCATGGGGGGGCATGGGGGGTCATGGGGGGGCATGGAGGGTCACAGTAGGTCCTGTTGGGTGTCAGTGGGTCGTGTTGGGTTCCATTGGGTCCTGTTGGGTCCTGTTGGGTCCCATTTGGTCTTGTTGACTCCTCTAGGGTCACTTTGGGTCCCATTGGGTCCTGTTGGGTTCCATTGGGTCTTGTTGGCTCCTCGAGGGTCCCGTTGGGTCCCATTGGGTCTTGTTGACTCCTCTAGGGTCACTTTGGGTCCCATTGGGTCCTGTTGGGTCCTAGCGGGTCCTGTTGGGTCCCATTTGGTCTTGTTGGCTCCTCTAGGGTCACTTTGGGTCCCGTTGGGTCACTTTGGGTCCCACTGAGTCACAGTGGGTCCTGTTGGGTCCCAATGGGTCATGTTGAGTCGTGTTGAGTCATGGTGGTTCCTGATGGGTTATTTTGGGTCTCATTGGGTCACTTTGGGTCACTTTGGGTCCTGTTGGGTCACTTTGGGTCCCATTGGGTCATGTTGAGTCATGGTGGGTCTCGTTGTGTCCCATTGGGTCACTTTGGGTCCCATTGGGTCCTGTTGGGTCCCAATGGGTCGTGTTGAGTCGTGTTGAGTCATGGTGGTTCCTGATGGGTTATTTTGGGTCCCATTGGGTCCCACTGGGTCTTGTTGGGTCCTCGAGGGTCCCGTTGGGTCTCATTGGGTCCCATTGGGTCCTGTTGGGTCCCATTTGGTCTTGTTGGGTCCTCGAGGGTCCCGTTGGGTCATGTTGGGTCCCGTTGGGTCCTGTTGGGTCCCATTGGGTCTTGTTGGGTCCCGTTGGGTCCTGTTGTGTCCCATTGGGTCACTTTGGGTCCTGTTGGGTCCCATTGGGTCCCATTGGGTCACTTTGGGTCCTGTTGTGTCCCATTGGGTCACTTTGGGTCCTGTTGGGTCCCGTTGAGTCCCATTGGGTCATGTTGAATCGTGTTGAGTCATGGTGGGTCCTGATGGGTTATTTTGGGTCCCCTTGGGTCCCCTTGTGTCACTTTGTGTCCCATTGGGTCCCATTGGGTCCTGCTATGTCCTGTTGTGTCCCGTTGTGCCCCCTTGCATCCCTTTGCATCCCATTACACCCCCTCACATCTCCCCCTCCCCTTTTTCCCCCTCCCTCCCACCCTCCCAGAAGCTCCTCCCCCTGTGCGCCGAGGGCCGCACGCCGGACCTGGAGGCGCTGCTGGCCGTCATCGACGGCGCGGGGCGCTTCGTGGACGTGTCTGTGATGAGCTACCTGCCCGGCACCGAGTTCTCCCGGCCCCGGCGCTTCTGGCCGGCCGTCGACGAGCGGCTGCGGCGCGCGGCCGTGGAGCGGGGCGTGGCCGTGCGGCTCCTGGCCGGCTGCTGGGCCCACAGCAACCCCCTCATGTTCCCCTTCCTGAGGTCCCTCGCTGCCCTCGGAGGGGAGAGGTTCCGCGTGCAGGTGGTGAGGGGGGATGGGGGCAGGGATGGACACAAAGGGGGGAGGGATGGACACAAAAGGGGGACATGGGGACACTGGGGGGAGGAATGGACACAAAGGGGGATATGGGGACACTGGGGGGAGAATGGACACAAAAGGGGGATATGGGGACACTGGGGGGACATGGGGACATTGGGGGAGATGAATGGACCCAAAGGGGGACATGGGGACACTGGGGGGATGAATGGACCCAAGGGGAATGGGGACACTGGGGAGACATGGGGACATTGGGGGGACATGGGGACATTGGGGGATGAATGACCCAAAGGGGGACATAGGGGACACTGGGGGACATGGGGACATTGGGGGACATGGGGACATTGGGGGGACATGGGGACATTGGGGGATGAATGGACCCAAAGGGGGGACATGGGGATGCTGGGGGGACATGGGGACATTAGGGACATGGGGACACTGGGGGTGATGAATGGACCCAAAGAGGGACAAACAGCCCCAAAGGGGGACATGGGGACATTGGGGGGATGAATGGACACAAAGGGGGGACAAATGGACCCAAAGGGGGACATGGGGACATTGGGGACATTGGGGAGGACACATAGGGGACACATGGGGGGAGGAATGGACCCAAAGGGGGGACAAATGGACACAAAGGGGTGAGAAATGGCCTTGGGGGGACATGGGGACACTGGGGGGGACAAATGGCCCTAGGGGGAATATGGGGGCACTGGGGACAGGGGGGAGAAATGGACCCAGGGGGGAGGAATGGACCCAAAGGGGGCATGAATGGACCCAAAAGGGGGGACAAATGGACCCAAAAGGGGGACAAATGGACCCAAAAGGGGGGGACAAATGGACCCAGGAGGGGACATGGGGACACTGGGGGACAGGGGGGAGGAATGGACACAAAGGGGGTGAATGGACCCAAAAGGGGGGACAAATGGACCCAAAAGGGGGACAAATGGCCCCAGGGGGGCACATGGGGACATTGGGGGATAAATGGCCCAAAGCGGGGACAAATCACCCCAGGGGGTGGCAAATGGCCCCAGGGGGGGACATGGGGACGTTGGGGGGGACACAGGGACATTGGGGGGGACATGGGGACACTGGGGGGATGAATGGACACAGGGGGACAAATGGTCCCAGGGGGATGAATGGCCCCAAAGGGGGACAAACGGCCCCAAAGGGGGGACAAATGGTCCCAGGGGGACACTGGGACACTGGGGGAGGAATGGACACAAAGGGGGGACAAATGGCCCCAGGGGGGGACATGGGGACATTGAGGAGGCACAAATGGCCCCAGGGGTTGATGGTGCCATTGAGGGGTGCCAAATGGGAGTGCCAAATGGGGGTGGTAAATGGCCTTGGGGGTGGTGACATTGAGGGGTGCCAAATGGGGGTGACAAATGAGGGTGACAAATGGGGGTGACAAATGGCCTGGGGTGACAGTGCCATTGGGGGGTGGTAAATGGCCTTGGGGGTGGTAAATGGCCTTGGGGGTGGTGACAGTGCCATTGAGGGGTGACAAATGGTTTTGGGGGTGGTAAATGGCCTGGGGGTGGTAAATGGCCTGGGGGTGGTGACAGTGCCATTGGGGGGTGACAGTGCCATTGGGGGTGACAATGCCCATGGGTGGGTGACAGTGCCCCAGGGGGGTGACAGTGCCATGGGTGGTGACAGTGCCAGGGGGTGGTGACAGTGCCATGGAGGGGGTGGTAAATGACCTGGGGGTGACAAATGGCCTGGGGGTGGTGACAGTGCCAGGGGGTGGGGTGACAGTGCCATTGGGGGTGACAAATGGTTTTGGGGGTGACAAATGGCCTTGGGGGGATGACAAATGGCCTTGGGGGTGACATGGTGCCATTGAGGGGTGACAAATGGTTTTGGGGGTGCAAATGGCCTGGGGGGGTTTTGGGGGTGACAAATGGTTTTGGGGGTGGTAACAGTGCCCCCCCAGAGGCCTAGCCCGTGGTGCCCCAGGACCCCCAGTCTCGGATCCCGCTCGCTCGGGTCAACCACAACAGGCTCATGGTGACCGACCGGGCGGCCTACGTCGGTCAGTGGGGCTGGGGGCTCTGGGGGCTTTGGGGGTCTGGGGGGTCTGGGAGGGTCTGGGGCTTCTGGGGGTGGTTTGAGGGATCTGGGGGAGTTGGAGGAGTCAGTGGGGCCTGGGGGCTCTGGGGGTCCTTGGGGGTCCTTGGGGTTGGGGTGGCTCAGGGAGGCTCCAGGGGGCTGGGGGTTTGGGGGCTCCAGGGGGTTTGGGAGGCTTTGGGGGATGGGGGCTTTGGGGGCTTTGAGGGGGTTTGGGGGGCCAGGGGGCTTTGAGGGGGTCTGAGGGGGCTTGGGGGTTCAGTGGGGTCTGGGGGGCAGTTTGAGGGGATCTGGGGGGTTTGGGGGGTCTGAGGGGGCTTGGGGGTTTGGGGAGCTCTGGGAGGGGTTTGAGGGGTCAGTGGGGGATGGGGGCTCGGGGGGCTTTGGGGGCAGGTTGAGGGGATCTGAGGGGTCTGAGGGGGTTTGGGGGTCAGTGGGAGGTGGGGCTTTGGGTGGGCTTTGGGGGTCCTTGGGGATTGGGGGCTCCAGGGGGTTTGGGGGTTCAGTGGGGGATGGGGGGCTTTGGGGGGCTATGAGGGGGCTTTGGAGGATGGGGGCTTTGGGGGCTAGTGAGGGGGTTTGGGGGGTCAGTGGGGATGGGGAGGCTTCGGGGGACTCCAGGGGGTTTGAGGGGTCTGAGGGGGGTTTGGAGGGGTCAGTGGGGGATGGGGGGCTCAGGGAGCTCCAGGGGGCTTGGGGGGCTTTGAGGGGATCTGAGGGGGTTTAGGGGTCTGGGGTCGGTTTGAGGGGGTCTGAGGGGGTTTGGGGGAAAGAAGGGAGAAACGCTCAAACCCCCTCCCAAACCCTCCCTGGACCCCTGTGACCCCCCCAGGCACATCCAACTGGTCCAGGGATTACTTTGAGCGCTCGGGGGCTCTGAACCCCCAAACCCCCCAAAACCCCCTGTGACCCCCCAGTGACCCCCAAAGCCCCCCAAAAGCCCCCAGTGACTCCCCTGCCCCCCAGGCACATCCAACTGGTCCGGGGATTACTTTGAGCGCTCGGGGCTCTGAAACCCCCAAACCCCCAAACCCCCTGTGACCCCCAAACCCCCAAAGCCCCCAAACCCCCAAACCCCCCAAACCCCCCAAGCCCCCCAGTGACCCCCCTGCCCCCCAGGCACATCCAGCTGGTCCGGGATTACTTTGAGCGCTCAGGGGCTCTGCAACCCCCAGACCCCCAAAGCCCCCCAAAGCCCCCCAGTGACCCCCCAAACCCCCAGGCACTTCCAACTGGTCGGGGATTACTTGAGCGCTCGGGGGCTCTGAACCCCCAAACCCCCCAAACCCCCAAACCCCCTGTGACCCCCCGGCCCCCAGAACCTCCCAGTGACCCCAAACCCCCCAGGCACTTCCAACTGGTCGGGGATTACTTTGAAGCGCTCGGGGGCTCTGAAACCCAATCCCCCAAAGCCCCCAGTGACCCCCTGCTGAGCCCCCAGGCACGTCCAACTGGTCCGGGGATTACTTTGAGCGCTCGGGGCTCTGTAACTCCCCAAAGCCCCCCAGTGACCCCCAACCCCCAAACCCCCAAACCCCCCAGACCCCCAAAGCCCCCAGTGACCCCCTGTGCCCCCCAGGCACGTCCAACTGGTCCGGGATTACTTTGAGCGCTCAGGGGCTCTGAATCCCCAAAACCCCCAAACCCCCAGTGACCTCCCAAACCCCCGAAACTCCCCAGTGACTCCCCTGCCCCCAAACCCCCCAAACCCCCAAAAGCCCTCCCAGTGACCCCCAGTGACCCCCAAACCCCCCAGGCACATCCAACTGGTCCGGGGATTACTTTGAGCGCTCGGGGGCTCTGAACCCTGTGACCCCCAAACCCCCAAACCCCCAGTGACCCCCATGTGCCCCCCAGGCACATCCAACTGGTCCGGGGATTACTTTGAGCGCTCAGGGGGCTCTGAACCCCCAAACCCCCAAAGCCCCCAAACCCCCAAACCCCCCAATCCCCAAAGCCCCCAAACCCCCAAACCCCCAAAGCCCCCAGTGACCCCCATGTCCCCCCAGGCACGTCCAACTGGTCCGGGGATTACTTTGAGCGCTCGGGGCTCTGAACCCCCAAACCCCCCCAAAGCCCCCAAACCCCCCAAACCCCCCAGTGACCCCCCGTGCCCCCAGGCACATCCAACTGGTCCGGGGATTACTTTGAGCGCTCAGGGCTCTGCAACCCCCAAACCCCCCCAAACCCCCCAGTGACCCCCGTGCCCCCAGGCACATCCAACTGGTCCGGGGATTACTTTGAGCGCTCGGGGGCTCTGTAACCCCCCAAAGCCCCCAAACCCCTCCCAAACCTCCAAACCCCCAGTGACCCCCAAACCCTCCCAGTGACCCCCAAACCCCCAGGCACATCCAACTGGTCCGGGGATTACTTTGAGCGCTCGGGGGCTCTGAACCCCTCTAGACCCCCAAACCCCCTAGTGACCCCCAGTGCCCCCAGGCACATCCAACTGGTCCGGGATTACTTTGAGCGCTCGGGGGCTCCGCCCTCGTCCTTTCCCAGCCCGGGGGTCCCGGACCTTCCGGGAGCGGCTCCGGGAGCTTTTCCAGAGGGATTGGGGTCCCCCACAGCGTCGACATCAGGAGACCCCCAGGGATGGGCCGGGCGCTGCGGACCCCTGACCCCCATCAGGGACCTCCCCCATCCCCACGGCCGGGGTTTGGGGGAAAAACGGCAAAATGGGATTTTTTGGGGGAAAGCGGCAAAAATGGGATTTTTGGGGGAAAAGTGGCAAAATGGGATTTTTGGGGGAAAATGGGGATTTTTGGGGAAACGGCAAAATGGGATTTTGGGGAAAATGGGATTTTTGGGGGAAAAGGCGGCAAAATGGGATTTTTGGGGAAAAGGGCAAAATGGGATTTTTGGGGGAAAAGCGGCAAAAATGGGATTTTTGGGGGAAAAATGGGATTTTTGGGGGGAAAATGGGATTTTTGGGGAAAAGCGGCAAAAATGGATTTTTGGGGAAAATGGGATTTTTGGGGGAGGAAAAGGCAAAAATGGGATTTTTGGGGGAAAGAGGCAAAATGGATTTTTTGGGGAAAGCGGCAAAATGGGATTTTTGGGGGAAAAATGGGATTTTGGGGGGAAGCGGCAAAATGGGATTTTTGGGGGAAGTGGCAAAATGGGATGTTTTTGGGGGAAGTGGCAAAATGGGATTTTGGTGGGAAAAGTGGCAAAAATGGGATTTTTTGGGGAAAATGGGATTTTGGGGGAAAACGGCAAAAATGGGATTTTGGGGTGAAATAGGATTTTTTGGGGAAAATGGAATTTTTTGGGGAAGCGGCAAAATGGGATTTTTTGGGAGGAAAAGCGGCAAAATGGGATTTTTGGGGGAAAATGGGATTTTTCGGGGAAAAGTGGCAAAAATGGGATTTTTTTGGAGGGAAAAATGGGATTTTGGGGGAAAAGTGGCAAAAATGGGACTTTTTGGGGGAAAGGGGCAAAAATGGGGTTTTTTGGGGAAAAGCGGCAAAATGGAATTTTTGGGGAAGCGGCAAAATGGGATTTTTGGGGGAAAATGGGATTTTGGGAAAGGCAAAAATGGGATTTTTGGGGGGAAAATGATTTTGGGGGAAAGCGGCAAAAATGGGATTTTTTGGGGCGGGGAAAAAACCTCAGAAATTGAATTTTTTTTGTTGGTTTTGTGGGGTTTTTTTTTGGTGTCCGTGTGGTCAGTGCAGACTCAGAGTTCCTCCCTTTCCCCCCCCCAAAAATCCATCCCTGGACCCCCCCAAATCACAGCTTGGGACACCTCAAATCCATCTCTGGGACCCCAAATCCATCTCTGGACCCCCAAATCATCTCTGACCCCAAAACCCCTCCCTGCCCCCTAAAACCCCTCCCAGCCACATCCCAGGGTTGCCTTTAATTTTTAATTTTTAATTAATTTTTAATTCATTTTTAATTTTAATTCATTTTTAATTTTCAATTCATTTTTAATTTTTAATGATTAATTATTTTTAGTTTTTAATTCCAACCAAGCCAAGCACGGGGTGGGGGTCTCGGGGGTCCTGGGGCAACACCACGACCCCTCCCCTCCCAAAATTCCCTGGTTAATGAAAACCCCCAAAAATGAGGGAGAAAAGTTTAAACCCCCCCCAAAAAAAAAAGCTGGATTAGGAATTTGGGGGTTAGAAAGGTCAGGGGGAGCTCAGGCAGATTTTGGGGGTCCTAAAGTGTTTGGGGGTTACTGGGATGTTTGGGGGTCCCCAAAGTGTCTGGGGGTTACTGGGAGGTTTGGGGGGTTACTGGGAGGTTTGGGGTTCTCAAGGCCCTGGGGGGTTACTGGGAGTTTTTGGGGTTACTGGGATATTTGGGGGGTTACTGGGAGGTTTGGGGTCCCCAAATCTCTGGGGGGTTACTGGGATATTTGGGGGTTACTGGATGGTTTTGGGGTCCCCAAATCCTCTGGGAGTTACTGGGAGGTTTGGGGGTCCCCAAATCCCTCTGGGGGGTTACTGGGAGTTTTGGGGGTTACTGGGAGGTTTGGGGTCCCCAAATCCTCGGGGGAGTTACTGGGAGGTTTGGGGGTCCCCAAACCCTGGGCGTACTGGGAGGGTTGGGGATTTACTGGGAGGTTTGGGGGGGTTACTGGGAGCTTTGGGGGTTACTGGGAGTATGGAAGGTTTGGGGGTCCCTAAGCTCCCCATTTTGGGGTGGGGTCCCACATGGGCCATGAATCTGGGGCTCAGCACCAGCCAGGGCAGCTGAAATTTGGGGTCCCCAAAGGCTCAGGGGGGGTTACTGGGAGGATTGGGGGTTACTGGGAATTAATGGGAGGATTTGGGGGGTCCCTAATCCCCCCATTTTTTGGGGCGGGGTCCCCATGGCCCGCAGATCTGGGGCTCAGCACCAGCTGGGGAGCTGAAATTTAGAGGTCCCCAAAGGCTCAGGGGTTACTGGGAGGATTGGAGGTTACTGGGAGCTTTGGGGGGGTTACTGGGAATTAATGGGAGGATTGGGGTGTCCCTAAGCCCCCCCCCCATTTTTTTGGGGTGGGGGTCCCCCCTATGGGCCGCAGATCTGGGGGCTCAGCACCAGCCGGGGCAGCTGAAATTTGGGGGTCCCCAAAGGCTCAGGGGGGGTTACTGGGATATTTGGGGGGGTTACTGGGAGGTTTGGGGTTACTGGGAGGTTTGGGGGGTACTGGGAGGATTGGGGGTCCTAAATCCCCCCCATTTTTTGGGGCGGGGGTCCCCTATGGGCCGCAGATCTGAGGGCTCCAGCACCAGCTGGGGCAGCTGAAATTTGGGGTCCCCTCCTCGCAGCCCCAGGGGTCGGGGGGTCCCGGGGTCTCCCGGGCAGAGCTCAGGTGGGGAGGCGAATCCCGCTCCCCGCCCCCACCACCCTGGGCACCCAGCGCGGCTCCGGGGGTTTCGGCCCCCAATTTGGGCATTTCACCTCAAACACCTCCGGGGTCCCGCCCAGCCCGGGGGCACCAATTCCAGGAGGGCATTTTGGGGGCTCCAGACCCTTCCAGGGGGCTCGGGGGCTCCGGCACCGAAAACCCCACGGAGGGGAGGGGACTCCGTGGGACCCCCCCAAATTCTCCCAGCGAGCCCCTGCCGGGTTTGGGGGTCTCACGGGGGTCCCGGGGCTCCGGCCCTTCCAGGCCAGGCCGAGGCTCTCAGCGCTGCCCCCCGGTTTTTAAGGGGGTGGGTTTAGGACCCCCGGGCCGGAGGTCAGGGCTGGACCCCCAAATTTGGGAAGGGCTTTGACCCCCGGAGCCTCGCAGGGGTCCCCGAGGCGCCAGGACCACCCTGGGGACCTCAGCTTGGGGGCCCCCGCGACCCCCAAAGGCAGCTCCGGCCCCGGGGTCCTACGGCGTGTGGGGGTCCTCGGCGTTGGGGGGTCCTCGGCGCTGGGGGGTCCCTCGGCCGTGGGGGTCCCGAGGCGCTTCCCAGCGCCCACCCCAGGCGGGGCAGGCGGAATTTGGGGGTCTCGTTGGGGAGGGGAGGGGGGGTGGTCCTGGGGTGGTCTCGGGGTCATGGCCACGAAGCCCAGGAAGCCCCCGGCCCTCCCCCGAGCTGGGGGGCTCAGCCCCAGAGACCCCCGAGGGGCCGACACTTCCATGGGGGCAGGCGGGGCCCCGGGGGTCCCTGGGGGTCCCAGGGGGTCCGCAGGGGGGTCCGGGCAGGGGGGGTCGTGCTCTGGGGCCGTCCTGGGGGCTTCCTGGGCAGTTCGGGAAGAGCCAATTCCAGGGAAAGCGAGGAGGGGGAGGGCCGGGGTCCTTCCGGGGCGGGGCGCCTTCTTGGGGGCGCCGGGAGGGAGGGTCTGGAAAGGGGGAGAAGGGGGAAAAGGGGGACAGGGGGGCGAAAAAGGGGAGAGGGGAGATGGAACTCAGGACCCTCCCCCAGCCCAGTCCTGGAGTCACAGGACCCCCTCCCACTTCCCAAATCCATGGGAAGCCCCCCATCCACAGGACCCCCATCCCAAATCCAAGGGACCCCACCTCCAAATCCAAGGGGCCCCCATCCCAAATCACAGGACCCCCCCAAATCCATGGGGACCCTCTCCCAAATCCAAGGGGACCCCTGTCATCCACCAGGACCCCCAAATCCACAGGGACCCCCCAAATCCACAGGAACCCCCACACACCCAGAGGGACCCCCCATCCACAGGACCCCCCAATCCCAAATCCACGGGGACCTCCCAAATCCAAGGGACCCCCTCCTCAAATCCAAGGCCCCCATCCCAAATCCACCAGGACCCTCTCCCCAAATCCACAGTGACCCCCAAATCCACAGGACCCCCAAATCCATGGGGACCCCCTCCACCCCAAATCCATGGGGACCCCCTACCCTAAATCCACAGGACCCCCCAAATCCATAGAGGACCCCCAAATCCAGGAACCCCACACACCCAGAGGGACCCCCATCCACAGGGACCCCCCAATTCCAGACGGACCCCCTCCCATCCCAAATCCAAGGGGACCCCCCAAATCCAAGGGGACCCCCATCCCAAATCCACCAGGAACCCCCCAAATCCACAGGACCTCTCATCCCAAATCCAGAGGGAACCCTCCCACCCGGGACCCCCCAAATCCAATGGGACCTCCCCCAAATCCACAGGGACCCCCTCAAATCCAAGGGGACCCCCATCCCAAATCCACCAGGAACCCCCCCAATCCAGAGGACCCCCACCCAGAGGGACCCTCCTCATCCATGGGGACCCCCCCAAATCCACGAGGACCCCCCCCTTTTCTCACCCCTCGGGTCCCTCTGTCCCGGAGCCCCTCGGGGGTCTCGGGGGGGCTCGGGGGTCTCCTCAGCCAGAGCGCCACGCGGAGCCCCCCCGCCCCCTCCAGGAGCCTCCGCACGGCCTCGGGGGGGGCCCCCTCGAACCAGACCCGCGCCCCCAGCACGCGGTCACCTGCGGGGACCCCTCCCAGTTCAGCCCAGTTCATCCCAGTGCATCCCAGTGCATCCCCAGTGTGTCCCAGTACACCCCCAGTACGGCCTCGGGGGGGGCCCCCTCGAACCAGACCCGCGCCCCCAGCACGCGGTCACCTGCGGGGACCCCTCCCCAGTTCATCCCAGTTCATCCCAGTTCATCCCAGTTCATCCCAGTTCATCCCAGTGCCCCCCCGGGGTCACACCAGTACATCCCAGTACACCCCAGTGATCCCCAGCACGGCCTCGGAGGCCCCTCAGACCAGACCCGCGCCCCCAGCACGCGGTCACCTGCGGGGACCCCTCCCAGTTCATCCCAGTTCATCCCAGTACACCCCAGTGCCTCCCAGTGCCCCCCCAGTGTGTCCCAGTGCCCCCCAGCACGGCCTCGGGGGGGGCCCCCTCGAACCAGACCCGCGCCCCCAGCACGCGGTCACCTGCGGGGACCCCCCCAGTTCATCCCAGTTCATCCCAGTACACCCCAGTTCATCCCAGTGCTCTCCTGGAGTCACCCCAGTGCCTCCCAGTACACCCCAGTGCCCCCCAGTACGGCCTCGGGGGGGCCCCCTCGAACCAGACCCGCGCCCCCAGCACGCGGTCACCTGCGGGGACCCCCCCAGTTCATCCCAGTTCATCCCAGTTCATCCCAGTGTGTCCCAGTGCATCCCCAGTGTGTCCCAGTACACCCCAGTGATCCCCAGCACGGCCTCGGGGGGGCCCCCTCGAACCAGACCCGCGCCCCCAGCACGCAGGTCACCTGCGGGGACCCCCCCCAGTTCATCCCAGTTCAGCCCAGTACACCCCAGTGTGTCCCAGTGCATCCCCAGTGCATCCCCAGTGCCTCCCAGTGCCTCCCAGCTACGGCCTCAGGGGAGCCCCCTCGAACCAGACCCGCGCCCCCAGCATGCGGTCACCTGCGGGGACCCCCCCAGTTCATCCCAGTACACCCCAGTTCACCCCAGTGCCCTCCTGGAGTCACCCCAGTGCGTCCCAGTGTGTCCCAGTGCCCCCAGCACGGCCTCAGGGCGCCCTCAGACCAGACCCGCGCCCCCAGCACGCGGTCACCTGCGGGGACCCCTCCCCAGTTCATCCCAGTTCATCCCAGTACACCCCAGTGCCCCCCCCCGGGTCACTCCAGTGTGTCCCAGTGCCCCCCAGGGTCATCCCAGTGCCCTCCAGTGCTCCCAGTGCCCTCCCAGTCCCTCCCAATCCCCTCCCAGTCCCTCCCAATCCCCTCCCAATCCCCTCCCAGTGCCCTCCCAGTGCCTCCCAGTGCTCCCAGTGCCCCTCAATCCCCTCCCAATCCCCTCCCAGTCCTCCCATTGCCCTCCCAGTCCTCCCAATGCCCTCTCAGTGCCCTCCCAGTGCTCCCAGTACCCCTCAATCCCCTCCCAATCCCCTCCCAGTGCCTCCCAGTCCCTCCCAATCCCCTCCCAGTGCCCTCCCAGTCCCTCCCAGTGCCTCCCAGTGCTCCCAGTCTCACCCTGGTGCAGCCTCAGCGTTTTTGGGGCCTCGGCCACGAAAATCCCCCCCGAGTCGCGGCCCAGGCGGAGCCCCCGGCCCAGCACGTCGGGCCCAGAGCCCACCTCGATCAGCTCCTGGGGGGGGGTCACCATCATCCCCCAGTTCATCCCAGTTCATCCCGGTTCATCCCAGTTCACCCCAGTCCATCCCAGTCCATCCCAGTTCACCCCAGTCCATCAAAACCCATCCCAGTCCATCCCAGTGCCCCCCCGGCCCAGCACGTCGGGCCCAGAGCCCACCTCGATCAGCTCCTGGGGGGGGGTCACCATCACCTCCCAGTTCATCCCAGTTCATCCCAGTTCATCCCAGTCCATCCCAGTCCATCCCAGGCTGCCCAGTCTCAGTCCTCAGTACGTGGCCCAGATCCACCTCGATCAGCTCCTGGGGGGGGGCACCATCACCTCCCAGTTCATCCCAGTCCATCCCAGTCCATCCCAGTTCATCCCAGTTCACCCCAGTTCATCCCAGTTCATCCCAGTTCATCCCAGTCCATCCCAGTGCCCCCCCGGCCCAGCACGTCGGGCCCAGAGCCCACCTCGATCAGCTCCTGGGGGGGGGTCATCATCACCTCCCAGTTCATCCCAGTTCATCCCAGTTCATCCCAGTTCACCCCAGTCCATCCCAGTTCATCCCAGTCCATCCCAGTCCATCCCAGTTCACCCCAGTCCATCCCAGTTCATCCCAGTCCATCCCAGTGCACCCGGTCACACGTCGGCTCGAGCCCACCTCGATCAGCTCCTGGGGGGGGGTCATCATCACCTCCCAGTTCATCCCAGTTCACCCCAGTCCATCCCAGTCCATCCCAGTTCACCCCAGTCCATCCCAGTCCATCCCAGTCCATCCCAGTGCCCCCAGTCAGCACGTCGGGCCCAGAGCCCACCTCGATCAGCTCCTGGGGGGGTCATTGTTACACCCCCTGACCCCCCCAGTCCATCCCAGTCCATCCCAGTCCATCCCAGTGCATCCCAGTCCATCCCAGTCCATCCCAGTGCCCCCCCGGCCCAGCACGTCGGGCCCAGAGCCCACCTCGATCAGCTCCTGGGGGGGGGTCACCATCACCTCCCAGTTCATCCCAGTTCATCCCAGTCAATCAAAACCCATCCCAGTCCATCCCAGTCCATCCCAGTGCCCCCCCGGCCCAGCACGTCGGGCCCCGAGCCCACCTCGATCAGCTCCTGGGGGGTCCAGGCAGGTCACCATCACTCCCAGTCCATCCCAGTTCATCCTAGTTCACCCCAGTTCATCCCAGTGCATAAAACCCATCCCAGTCCATCCCAGTCCATCCCAGTGCCCCCAGTCCATCCCAGTCGGGCCTGAGCCCACCTCGATCAGCTCCTGGGAGGTCACCAGCACTCCCAGTTCATCCCAGTTCATCCCAGTTCATCCCAGTTCACCCCAGTCCATCCCAGTCCATCAAAACCCATCCCAGTCCATCCCAGTGCCCCCCCGATCCCCCACGGCCCTGCACGTCGGGCCCCGAGCCCACCTCGATCAGCTCCTGGGGGGGGGTCACCATCACCTCCCAGTTCATCCCAGTTCATCCCAGTTCATCCCAGTCCATCCCAGTGCATCCCAGTGCATCCCAACCCATCCCAACCCATCCCAGTCCATCCCAGTCCATCCCAGTCCATCCCAGTGCCCCCCAAGCCCACCTTGATCAGCTCCTGGGGGGGGGGTCACCGTCACCCCCCAGTGCATCCCAGTCCATCCCAGTTCACCCCAGTCCATCCCAACCCATCCCAACCCATCCCAGTCCATCCCAGTCCGTCACGGTCCATCCCAGTCACCCCATGACCACCATGAGCTCCTAGTCACATCCCAGTCCATCCCAGTCCATCCCAGTCATCCCATCCCAGTTCATCCCAGTCCATCCCAGTCCATCCCAGTCCATCCCAGTCCATCCCAGTCAATCAAAACCCATCCCAGTCCACCCCAGTCCATCCCAGTCCCCCCCAGTCAATCCCAGTCCATCCCAGTCCATCCCAGTCAATCCCAGCCCATCCCAGTCCATCCCAGTCCATCCCAGTCCACCCCAGTCCATCCCAGTCCATCCCAGTCCATCCCAGTCCATCCCAGTCCACCCCAGTCCATCCCAGTCCATCCCAGTCCATCCCAGTCCCAACTCCCTCACCTCCATGACGGGGGGGATGGGAGGTTCCTCTTTTGGGGGGTCCCGGGGAGTCCCGCGGTGGTGGCAAAAGGGGGGGAGGGGGCTCTGCAGGTCCTGGAAAAGGGAAACGGAGACCCCCAAATTCCCAAAAATCCCATCCCAGAGACCCCAAAATCCCCCAAACCCCATCCCAGAGACCCCCAAATCCCAAAAATCCCAACCCAGAGACCCCCAAATTCCCAAAAATCCAGCCCAGAGACCCCCAAATCCCCAAAAATCCAGCCCAGAGACCCCCAAATTCCCAAAAATCCCAACCCAGAGACCCCCAAATCCCAAAAAATCCCAGCCCAGAGACCCCCAAATCCCAAAAATCCCAGCCCAGAGACCCCCAAATCTCAAAAAATCCCAGCCCAGAGACCCCGAAATTCCCAAAAATCCAGCCCAGAGACCCCAAAATCCCCCAAATTCCCAAAAATCCATCCCAGAGACTCCCAAATCCCCCAAAATCCCAGCCCAGAGACCCCAAAATCCAGCCCAGAGACCCCCAAATCCCCAAAAATCCCAACCCAGAGACCCCCAAATCCCAAAAATCCCAACCCAGAGACCCCAAAATCCAGCCCAGAGACCCCCAAATCCCAAAAATCCCAGCCCAGAGACCCCCAAATCCCCAAAATGCCAAAAATCCCATCCCAGAGACCCCCAAATCCCCCAAATTCCCAAAAATCCAGCCCAGAGACCCCCAAATCCCCAAAAATCCCAACCCAGAGACCCCCAAATCCCAAAAATCCCAACCCAGAGACCCCAAAATCCAGCCCAGAGACCCCCAAATCCCAAAAATCCCAGCCCAGAGACCCCCAAATCCCCAAAATGCCAAAAATCCCATCCCAGAGACCCCCAAATCCCCCAAATCCCAAAAAAATCCCAGCCCAGAGACCCCCAAATCCCCCCAAAATCCATCCCAGAGACCCCCAAATCCCCCAAATCCCAAAAAAATCCCAGCCCAGAGACCCCCAAATTCCCAAAAATCCCAGCCCAGAGACCCCCAAATCCCAAAAAATCCATCCCAGAGACCCCAAATTCCCAAAAATCCCAGCCCAGAGACCCCCAAATCTCCCAAAATCCATCCCAGAGACCCCCAAATCCCAAAAAATCCCATCCCAGAGACCCCCACATCCCAAAAAATCCCAACCCAGAGACTCCCAAATTCCCAAAAATCCCAGCCCAGAGACCCCCAAATCCCCAAAAATCCCAACCCAGAGACCCCCAAATCCCCCAAATCCCCAAAAAATCCAGCCCAGAGACCCCAAAATCCCCCAAATCCCCAAAAATCCAGCCCAGAGACCCCCAAATTCCAAAAAAATCCCAACCCAGAGACCCCCAAATCCCCAAAAATCCCAACCCAGAGACCCCAAAATCCCCAAAAATCCCATCCCAGAGACCCCCAGACCCCAAATTCCCAAAAATCCCAGCCCAGAGACCCCCAAATCCCAAAAAATCCAACCCAGAGAGCCCCAAATCCCCCAAAATCCAGCCCAGAGACCCCCAAATTCCCCAAAATCCCCCAAATTCCCAAAAATCCAGCCCAGAGACCCCCAAATCCCCAAAAATCCCAACCCAGAGACTCCCTAACCCCCCAAAATCCAGCCCAGAGACCCCAAATCCCAAAAATCCCAGCCCAGAGACCCCAGACTTCCTGAAACTTCCCAAAATCCCAGCCCCCAGACCAGAACTCAAATCCCATCAGAGACCCCAATCCCCAAAATCAGCCCAGAGACCCCGCCCAAAATTCCCCAAAAACCCCAGACCCCCAACCCCAAAATCCCAGCCCAGAGACCCCAAGCCCCCAAATCCCCAGAGACCCAATCCCAGAGATCCCAACCCAGAGACCCCAGACCCTTTCCAGCCCCCAAAACCCCCAAAATCCATCCCAGAGACCCCAAATCCCCCAAAACCCCTCCTAGGACCCCCCAAATCCCCAAAATCCATCCCAGAGACCCCAGACCCCTTCCAGCCCCCCCAAACCTCGTTCCTGCTCCCCAAAACTCCCCCAGCCCCCAAAACCCCCTCCCAGCCCCCCAAATCCCCAAACCCCATCCCAGAGACCCCAGACCCCGTTCCAGCCCCCCAAAACCCCCCAAATCCATCCCAGAGACCCCCAAATCCCAAAAATCCCATCCCAGAGACCCCAAATCCCCAAAAATCCAACCCAGAGACCCCAAATCCCCAAAAATCCATCCCAGAGACCCCAATCCCCAAAAATCCCATCCCAGAGACCCCAGACCCCTTCCAGACCCCAAAACCCCAAAATCCATCCCAGAGACCCCCAGACCCCCTTCCAGCCCCCAAAACGCCCCTCGGGTCCCCCACCTCAGGGGTCGCTCCCCCGTCGGCGGCTCTGCCGGGAAGTGGCTCCGGGACCCCCCCGGCCCTCACGGGGACCCCCACGCACCCGCGGGACAAAGGGGTCCTTGTGCCCTCCCCCACGGGAATTCCGGGAATTCCGGGAATTTTGGGGATTCAGCACAAAATCCCGTGGGACGGAGCCGCAGGGGGGGGCAAAAATGGGGGAGGGGATTGGGGAAGATTTGGGGTCCCAAAATGGGGGGTAAAGGAGGTTTAGGGGTCCCAAAAATGGGGAGGGATTGGGGGAAGATTTGGGGGTCCCAAAAATGGGGAGGGGGAATGAGGAAGATTTGGGGTCCCAAAGATGGGGGGGTAAAGGAGGTTTGGGGGTCCCAAAAATGGGGGTTTTAGAGGGAGATTTGGGGGTCCCAAAAATGGGGAGGGGGTTTAGAGGAAGATTTGGGGTCCCAAAGATGGGGGGGTTTAGAGGAAGATTTGGGGTCCCAAAGATGGGGGTTAAGAAGGAAGATTTGGGGTCCCAAAAATGGGGGGTTGAGGAAGATTTGGGGTCCCAAAGATGGGGGGTTAGAGGAAGATTTGGGGGTCCCACCTTTAGGGGGCTCCGGTGACATTTGGGGTCCCCACGGGTCAGGGGGGACATTTGGGGTCCCCCACCGATTGGGGGCTCTGGGGAGATTTGGGGGTCCCCACGAAGTGGGGGCGGCTCAGGGAGATTTGGGGACCCCCACGAGGTCAGGGGATTTGGGGGTCCCCACGGGTTGGGGGGCTCAGGGAAGATTTGGGGTCCCCACAGGTCGGAGGGGATTTGGGGGCCCCACAGGTTGGGGGTTCTCGGGGAGATTTGGAGGTCCCCACCTTGGGGGGCTCAGGGAGATTTGGGGGTCCCTACAGGTTGGGGGGCTCGGGGATATTTGGGGGTCCCCACCTATTGGGGGGGCTCGGGGAGATTTGGGGGTCTCCACGGGGTCGAGGGGAATTGGGGAGATTTGGGGGCCCCACAGGTTGGGGGACTCGGGTGACATTTGGGGGTCCCCACCTTGCAGGGGGCTAGGGGAGATTTGGGGGTCCCCACGGGTCGGGGGGATTTGGGGACCCCATGGGGTCGAAGGGGGATGGGGAGATTTGAGGGTCCCCACAGGGTCACGGGGACATTTGGGGGTCCCCACGAATGGGGGCTCCGGTGACATTTGGGGTCCCCACGGGTCAGGGGGGACATTTGGAGGTCCCCACCGATTGGGGGCTCAGAGGAGATTTGGGGTCCCCCACGGGCTGGGGGCTCAGGGGAGATTTGGGGTCCCCACCGATTGGGGGGGCTCGGGGAGATTTAGGGGTCCCCTACAGGTTGGGGGCTCGGGGAGATTTGGGGACCCCCACGGGTTGGGGGGATTTGGGGCTCCCCACAGGCTCGTGGGACATTTGGGGGTCCTCACCGGTGGAGGGGTCCGGGTGGGGGATCAGATCCTCGAGACCCTCCCGAGGGGGCTTTGATGCCCCCAACCCCCCACATTTCCCCCAAAAAGAAAACCCCACTCAGGGCCACGTCAGGACCAGCAGCGTTTGTGGGGCCGGTCCATGGGGGTTTTTTGGGGTCAGGGGTCCTTTTCCCCTCTCGGGGGGTCCCAGGTGTGGGGGGTCCCGGAGGTCCCTGGCCCCTATTTCTGCGCGGGGATCATGTCGTCGATCGGCTGCTTCTGCTCGAGCTTCTTCTCCATCTCCACCATCAGCTTCACTCCGTCCACCACCATCTGCACCTGCTCCACCTCCGAGAAACCCAGGCGGTCCGCGTTGGAGATGTCGAACACCGCGCCCACCGCAGCCGTGTCCACCCCCCCTGCGGGGAAATTGGGGTTAGAGACCCCCAGAGACCCCCAGGAACCCCCAGCACTGCCCAACCCCGCTCATCACAGCCCAGCCCAGCCCATCCCATCCCATCCCGGCCGGTCCGCGTTGGAGATGTCGAACACCGCGCCCACCGCAGCCGTGTCCACCCCCCCTGGGGGGAAATTGGGGTTAGAGACCCCAGAGACCCCAGAGCATCCCCACCCATCCCCACCCATCCCCATCCCCACCCATCACTGCCCGGCACTGCCCATCCCATCCCATCCCAGGCTGTCCCCGTTGGAGATGTCGAACACCGCGCCCACCGCCGCCGTGTCCACCCCCTGGGGAATTGAGGTTAGAGACCCCAGAGACCCTAGGAACCCCCGGCACTGCCCATCCCTGCTCATCCCATCCCCACCCATCACAGCCAGCCCAGCCTGTCCGCATTGGAGATGTCGAACACCGCGCCCACCGCGGCCGTGTCCACCCCCCCTGGGGGGAAATTGGGGTTAGAGACCCCCAGAGACCCCCCAGAGCATCCCCTACCCATCCCCATCCCCACCCATCACTGCTCATCCTAACCCAGCCCAGCCCAGCCCAGCCCATCCCATCCCAGCCTGTCCCCGTTGGAGATGTCGAACACCGCGCCCACCGCAGCCGTGTCCACCCCTGGGGGTTAAAATGAGTTAGAGACCCCAGAGACCCCCAGAGCATCCCCACCCCATCCCCATCCCCACCCATCACTGCTCATCCTAGTCCAGCCCATCCCCACCCATCCCATCCCAGCCTGTCCGCGTTGGAGATGTCGAACACCGCGCCCACCGCAGCCGTGTCCACCCCCCCTGGGGGGTTAAAATGGGGTTAGAGACCCCCAGAGACCCCCAGAGACCCCAGGAACCCCAGAGACCCCCAGCACTGCCCGGCACTGCCCAGCCCATCCCATCCCGGCCTGTCCGCGTTGGAAATGTCGAACACCGCGCCCACCGCAGCCGTGTCCACCCCCTGGGGGTTAAAATGGGGTTAGAGACCCCAGGGACCCCAGGGACCCCAGAGACCCCCGGCACTGCCCATCCCCACCCATCACAGCCCAGCCCAGCCCATCCCAGCCCAGCCCGGCCGGTCCAGCGTTGGAGATGTCGAACACCGCGCCCACCGCCGCCGTGTCCACCCCTGGGGGTTAAAATGGGGTTAGAGACCCCCAGAGACCCCCAGAGACCCCCAGGGACCCCTCCGGCACTGCCCATCCCCACCCATCCCATCCCAGCCCAGCCCATCCCAGCCTGTCCGCGTTGGAGATGTCGAACACCGCGCCCACCGCCGCCGTGTCCACCCCTGGGGTTAAAATGGGGTTAGAGACCCCAGAGACCCCCAGCACCGACCACCCACCCTGCCCATCCCCACCCATCCCCACCCATCCCCATCACAGCCCAGCCCATCCCAGGCGGTCCGCGTTGGAGATGTCGAACACCGCGCCCACCGCAGCCGTGTCCACCCCCCCTGGGGGGAAATTGGGGTTAGAGACCCCCAGAGACCCCCAGGGACACCCCCAGGGACCCCCAGAGACCACCAGGGACCACCAGGGACCACCAGAGACCACCAGAGACCCCCCCAGGGACCCTCGGGGACGCCCAGAGCCCCCCAGAGACCCCCAGAGACCCCCAGGGACCCCCAGGGACCACCAGATTTTTGGGGGTGTTTGGGGTTGATTTTTGGGGTGTTTTGGGGTTGATTTTTGGGGGTTTTCTGGGGGGTTTTTGGGTTGGTTTTGGGGTTGATTTTTGGGGTGTTTGGGGGTCGATTTTTGGGGTGTTTTGGGGGTTGATTTTGGGGGTGGTTAGGGGGTTGATTTTTGGGGTGTTTTGGGGTTGATTTTTGGGGGTGTTTTGGGGTTGATTTTTGGGGGTGTTTGGGGTTGATTTTTGGGGTTGATTTTTGGGGTGGTTTGGGGTTGATTTTTGGGGGTGTTTTGGGGTCGATTTTTGGGGGTGTTTTTGGGTTGATTTTTGGGGTGGTTTGGGGTTGATTTTTGGGGGTGTTTTGGGGTTGATTTTTGGGGGTTGATTTTTGGAGGGGTTGGGGTTGATTTTTGGGGGTGTTTTGGGGTTGATTTTGGGGGTGTTTTGGGGTTGATTTTTGGGGTGTTTTGGGGTCGATTTTTGGGGGTTTTCTGGGGTTTTTTTGGGGGTGTTTGGGGTTGATTTTTGGGGTTGATTTTTGGGGTGTTTTGGGGTTGATTTTTGGGGGTGTTTTGGAGTTGATTTTGGGGGTGTTTTGGGGTTGATTTTTGGGGTGTTTTGGGGTTGATTTTTGGGGTGTTTTGGGTTCGATTTTTGGGGTGTTTTGGGGTCGATTTTGGGAGTGTTTTGGGGTTGATTTTTGGGGTGTTTTGGGTTCGATTTTTGGGGTGTTTTGGGGTCGATTTTTGGGGTGTTTTGGGGTTGATTTTTGGGGTGTTTTGGGGGTGTTTTAGGGTTGATTTTGGGGGTGTTCTGGGGTTGATTTTTGGGGTGCTTTAGGGTGTTTCTTGGGGTGTTTTGGGGTTGATTTTTGGGGGTGTTTTGGGGTTGATTTTTGGGGGTGTTTTGGGGTTGATTTTGGGGTGTTTTTGGGAGTTGATTTTGGGGATTTTCTGGGGTGTTTTGGGGTGTTTTGGTGTTGATTTTTGGGGTGTTTTGGGGTTGATTTTTGGGGTGTTTTGGGGTTGATTTTTGGGGATGTTTTGGGGTTGATTTTTGGGGTGTTTTGGGCACTGGTTTTAGGGGTGTTTTGGGGGTGTTTTGGGGGTGTTTTGGGGTTGGTTTTTTTGGTGTTTTTGGGGTTGCTTTTGGGGTGGTTTTTGGGGTGGTTTTTTGGGTTTTTTTTAGGAGTTTTTTTGGGGTGGTTTTGAGGTGGTTTTGGGGTGGTTTTTGGGGGTGTTTTTGGGGTGTTTTTTGGGGTGTTTTGGGGGTGTTTTTTTTTGGGGTATTTTTGGGTTTGTTTTGGGGGTGGTTTTTTGGGTGTTTTTCGAGGTTGATTTTGGGGTGTTTTTGAGGTGTTTTTTGGGGTGGTTTTGGGATTGGTTTTGAGGTGTTTTGGGGTGTTTTTTTGGGGTAGTTTTGAGGTGTTTTGGGGTTTTTTTTGGGGTGGTTTTGAGGTGGTTTTGGGGTGGTTTTTTTGGGGTGTTTTTTGGGGTGTTTTTTGGGGTGGTTTTTGGGGGTGGTTTTGGGATGTTTTTTGGGGGTATTTTTCGGGTGTTTGTTTGGTTGTTTTTGGGGTGTTCTTGGGGGTGTTTTGGGGGTGGTTTTTGGGGTTGTTTTAGGTGGGGTTTTTTTGTTGTTTTGGGGGTGTTTTTCTGGTGTTTTTTTGGTTGTTTTGGGGTTGGTTTTGGGGGTTGTTTTGGGGGTGTTTTAGGGGGGTTTTTTAGGGGTGTTTTTGGGATTGGTTTTGGGTTATTTTTTGGGGTGTTTTTTGGGTTATTTATGGGGTGTTTTTTGGGGGTCCCCACCTGTGCCCCGTTTCTGCAGGCGGAGTCTCTTGAGGATCTCCTCGAATTTGGGGTGCTGGCTGAGGTGGTTTGGGGTGGTTTTTGGGGCTGTTTTAGGCTGTTTTTGGGGTGTTTTAGGTCCCCACCTGTGCCCCGTTTCTGCAGGCGGAGCCTCTTGAGGATCTCCTCGAATTTGGGGTGCTGGCTGAGGTGGTTTGGGGTGATTTTGGGCTATTTTAGGTGTGTTTTGGGTTATTTTAGGTGTGTTTTTTTGGGTGTTTTTGGGTCCCCACCTGTGCCCCGTTTCTGCAGGCAGAGCCTCTTGAGGATCTCCTCGAATTTGGGGTGCTGGCTGAGGTGCTTTGGGGTGGTTTGGGGCTATTTTTGGGGTGATTTTGGGTTATTTTTTGGGGTGATTTTGGGGTGTTTGGGGTCCCCACCTGTGCCCCGTTTCTGCAGGCGGAGCCTCTTGAGGATCTCCTCGAATTTGGGGTGCTGGCTGAGGTGGTTTGGGCTGTTTTTGGGGTGTTTTTTGGGGCTGTTTTTTGGTTGTTTTTGGGGTGGTTTTGGGGCTGTTTGGGGTGGTTTTTGGGGTGTTTTAGGCTGGTTTTGGGTGTTTTAGGTCCCCACCTGTGCCCCGTTTCTGCAGGCGGAGCCTCTTGAGGATCTCCTCGAATTTGGGGTGCTGGCTGAGGTGCTGCAGCCTGACGTGGACCCCTCCCCTCAGCCCCGTGCCCAGGTTGGAGGGGCAGGTCAGGATGTAGCCCAGGTGCTCGGTCCACATGAAGGGGTGCCCGGCCTTCTTGAAGATCTCCTCGATCTGGGGGGGGGGTCAGGAGGGCTCAGGGCACCCCCAGGGCACCCCCAGGGCACCCCAGAGAACCCCCAGGGCACCCCCGGGGCACCCCCAGGGCACCCCAGGGCACCCCCAGGGCACCCCCAGGGCACCCCCAGGGCACCCCCAGAGCACCCCCAGGGAACCCCCGGGCACCCCCAGAGCACCCCCGGAGCCTCCCGGGCACCGAGACCCCCAGGACGTGTCCCCAAAATAGCCCCAAATCCCACAAATCCCACAAATCCCCCAAATTCCCATAAATCTCACACAAATCCCACAAATCACCCCAAATCCCCACAAATTCCACAAATTCCCATAAATCCCACAAATCCCACAAATTCCACAAATCCCTCCACATCCCCCAAATCCCTCCACATCCCCCTACACCCCCAAAATGCCCTCATATCCCCAAATCCCCCAAATCCCACAAATCCCCAATACCCCCAAATCCCCCAAATGCCCCCATACCCCAAATCCCCTCACAGCCCCAAACCCTCCAACACTCCCCAAATCCCCAAATCCCCCCAAATCCCCAAATCCCTCACATCCCCTAAATCCCCCAAATCCCCCATATCCCCAAAATCCCCCAAATACCCCCAGATCCCCCAAATCCCCAAATCCCCTCACAGCCCCCAAATCTCCCCATGTCCCCCAAATCCCCCAATATCCCCAAATCCCCTATACCTCAAAATCCCTCCCCATCCCCAAATGCCCCCAAATCCTTCCATGAACCCAAATCCCTCATACCCCAAAATCCCCCCACATCCCCCAATATCCCCCAAATCCCCCCAAATCCCCCCACGTCCCCAGATCCCCCAAAATCCCCAAATCCCTCCACACCCCCAAATCCCCCGTGCCCCCAAATCCCCTCACACCCCCACACCTCCCAATCCCCTGTGCCCCCAAAATGCCCTCATACCCCAGATTCCCCAAACCCCCCAAATCCCCCAATACCCCCAAATCCCCACATCTCCTGAATCCCCTTGTCCCCCACATCCCCCAAATCCCTCCAACACTCCCCAAATCCCCTATGCCCCCAAAATGCCCTCATATCCCCAAATCCCCAAATCCCCAAATCCCCTCAAATCCCCAAATCCCTCCACATCCCCACATCCCTCAAATTCCTCCAACACCCCCAATCCCCTGTGCCCCCTAACACCCCCAAATCTCCTCCACATCCCCCTGTGCCCCCAATATCCCCAAATCCTCACACTCCCAAATCCCTCCAATATCCCAAATCCCCTACGTCCCCAAATCCCCTAAAATCCCCAATATCCCCAAATCCCCCAAATCCCTCCACATCCCCAAATCCCCCAAATCCCCAAATCCCCTATACCCCCAAATCCTCACAAATCCCCCAAATCCCCTCACACCCCCAAATCCCCAAATCCCTGAAATCCCTCAAATCCTCCAACACTCCCCAATCCCCTGTGCCCCCAAAATGCCCTCATCACCCCCAAATCCCTCCAACACCCCCAATCCCCCATGCCCCCAAATCCCCCCCTGTGCCCCCCAAATCCCCCTCACACCCCCCAAATGCCCCCCCACCTTCTTGAGGCCGACGCAGAAGCGGCGGAAAACGTCCCTCATGTTGCCTCCCTTCTGCATGGAGATGACCCTGAGGTGATCCTCTTCGTTCATCCACACCAGGAACGTCTTGTTGTCATTGTGCCTGGGGGGAGAGGGGGGTCAGACCCCCGGGACCTCAGAGACCACCAGGGACACCCAGAGCACCTCAGGGACCCCCAGGGACCACCACGGCACCCCCGGGACCCCCAGAAACCCCTCAGGGGATCCTCCTCATTCACCCACACCAGGAACGTCTTGTTGTCGTTGTGCCTGGGGGGAGAGGGGGGTCAGGCCCTCAGAAACCCCCAGGACCCCAGAACCCCGGGACCCCAGAAACCACCACGGCACCCCAGGGACCCTCAGGGGATCCTCCTCGTTCACCCACACCAGGAACGTCTTGTTGTCGTTGTGCCTGGGGGACGGGTCAGACCCCAGAACCCCGGACCCCCGAGACCCTCAGAGACCACCCAGGATCCCCTGGACCCCAGAGCACCCCAGGGACCCCCAGAAACCACCCCGGGACCCCTCAGGGGATCCTCCTCATTCACCCACACCAGGAACGTCTTGTTGTCATTGTGCCTGGGGGGAGAGGGGGGTCAGACCCCAGGACACCCCGGGACCCCCAGAAACCCCCGGGATCCCCTGGGACCCCCAGGGACCCCCAGAAACCCCCCCGGGACCTCCAGGGATGCCCCCGGGACCCCCAGGAACCCCCAGGGCACCCCAAGGACCCCCAGGGGCAACCCAGGGACCCCGCCGGGCACCCCAGGGACCTCCAGGGACCCCCAGAAACCACGCCGGGCTCCCCCGGGATCCCAGGGGCAACCCAGGGACCCCCAGGGGACAACGGGGGGGGTGAGACCCTTGGGGAGACCCCCAGGGACCACCCCGGGACCTCCAGGGACCCCCCCGGGATCCCCAAGGACCCCCAGGGGACCACTACGGGACCCCCAGAAACCCCCACGGGATCCCCAGGGACCCCCAGGGGACCCCCAGGGGACCCCCAGGGGACAGACGAGGGGGGTGAGACCCCCGGGGAGACCCCAGGGGAGACCCCGGGTACCCCCAGAAACTCCCCCGGGACCCCCACGGGACTCCCAGGGGACAGACGGGGGGGGTGAGACCCCCAGGGAGACCCCCGGGGAGACCCCCGGGCACCCTCAGGGAACAGATGGGGAGGGGGGGCCCTTTCTGCCCCCCTGGGTGGGATCCAGGGGGGATCCAGGGGGCAATCCAGGGGTCTGGGTGCCCCTTTGTCCCATCCCAGGTGGGATCCAGGTGTGGGGGTGCCCCTTTCTCCCCTGCCAGCTGCGTCCCCCCTTCCCCAGTCGCCCCCCAGTCGCCCCCAGTTGCCCTCCCAGTGCCCTCCCAGTCCCTCCCAGTGCCCTCCAGTCCCTCCCAGTGCCCTCAGTGCCTCAGTGCCCTCCCAGTGCCCTCCCAGTGCCCCCCAGTGCCCACCAGATGCCGCGGGCGTCAGGCCAGTCTCTCCTAGTCCCTCCCAGTGCCTCCCAGTGCCCTTCCAGTGCCTCCCAGTGCCTCCCAGTGCCCGCCAGATGCCTCGCAGTGCCGTCCCAGTGCCCTCCTAGATGCCACGGGCGTCGGGCCAGTCCCTCCCAGTGCCCTCCCAGTGCCCTCCCAGTCCCTCCCAGTCCCTCCCAGTGCCTCCCAGTGCCCACCAGATGCCCTCGCAGGTGCCTGCCAGTCCCTCCCAGTGCCTCCCAGTGCCCTACCAGATGCCGCGTGTCGGCCAGTCGCTCCTAGTGCCCTCCCAGTGCCCTCCCAGTGCCCTCCCAGTCCCTCCCAGTCCTCCCCAGTGCCCTCCAGTGCCCTCCCAGTGCCTCCCAGTGCCCACCAGATGCCGCGGGTCAGGCCAGTCCTCCCAGTGCCCCCAGTCCCCCCAGACCCTCCCAGTGCCCCTCCAGTGCCTCCCAGTGCCCCCAGTGCCTCCCAGTGCCTCCCAGTGCCCACCAGATGCCGCGGGCGTCGGGCCAGTCACCCTCAGTCCCTCCCAGTGCCCCCCAGTGCCCCCCAGTGCCCTCCCAGTGCCCTCCCAGTCCCTCCCAGTGCCTCCCAGTGCCTCCCAGTCCTCCCAGTGCCCTCCCAGTGCCCTCCCAGTCCCTCCCAGTGCCCCCCAGTGCCCACCAGATGCCGCGGGCGTCGGGCCAGTCGCGGGCCATGCCCGAGGCGAGCAGCAGGGGGGACACGGGCTTGTCGAAGAGGAAGTGGTCGTCGATGAGCTGCTGCTGCTCCTGCTCCGTCATCGCCTTCAGGGGGTAGTACCGGCCCTTGAACTCCCCGTCCAGGCTGTTCAGGGCTGGGGGAGGGGTCAGGGACACGCCCATCAGGGGACACGCCCACTCATGGACACGCCCAAGGTGGGACACGCCCACCCAGGACACGCCCAAGGTGGGACACGCCCACCCACGGACCCCCCTTCGTGGGGTGGGAGCGGCCCTTGAACTCCCCGTCCAGGCTGGGAGGGGCGGGGCGGGGTCAGGGACACGCCCATCGTGGGACACGCCCACCCGGGACACGCCCAAGGTGGGACACGCCCACCCAGGGACACGCCCATCTGAGTGGGACCACCCACCAGCCCACCCAAAACCCACCCAAATCTGCCCCAAAAACCCACCCAAAACCACCCAAACCCACCCAAACCCACCCAAATCTGCCCCAAAACCCACCCCAAAACCCACCCCAAACCCACCCAAATCCACCCCAAACCTCACCCCAAAAACCCACCCCAAACCACTCCACCCAAACCTCCTAAACCCCACCCCAAATCCACCCAAACCCACCTGAAAACCACTCCACCAAACCCACCCAAAACCCCACCCAAACCTGCCCCAAAAACCTACCCCAAACCCACCCTAAACCACCCATCCCTAAACCCACCCAAAACCCACCCAAAACCCACTCAAACTCACCCAAACCACTCCACCCAAACTCACCCAAACCCACCCAAATCTGCCCTAAAACCCACCTCCAAACTCCACCCCAAACCCCACCCAAACTGCCCCAAAACCCACCCCAAACCCTCCATCCAAACCCACCCCTAAACCCCACCTAAACCTACCCTAAACCCACTCACAAAAATCCAACCCCAACCCCACTCCAAACCCTCCATCCAAACATCCCCAAACCCACCCAAAACCCACCAAATCCACCCAAACCACCCACCCAAACCTGCCCTAAACCCACCCCAAATCCACCCAAAACCACCCACCCAAACCTGCCCAAAACCCACCCCAAATCCACCCAAAACCCACCCAAAACTCACCCAAAACCCTCCATCCAAACCCACCCAAACCCACCCCAAATCCACTCAAATCCACCCAAACCCTCCATCAAAACCCACCCCAAAACCACCCAAAGGCACCCAAACCCACCCAAACCCACCCAAATGTACCTAAACCACCCACCCAATCGGCCCAAACCCACCCCCAAATCCACCCAAACCCACCCAAACCCTCCATCCAAACCCACCCCAAACCCCACCTAAACCCACCCAATGTACCCAAAATCACCCACCCAAACCCACCCAAATGTACCCAAAATCACCCACTAAACCTGCCCTAAACCCACCCCAAATCCACCCAAACCCACCAAACCAACATCCACCCAAACCCGCTCTCTAAACCCACCCCAAGTCCACCAAACCCACCCAAACCTCCATCCAAACCCACCCCAAACCACCCAAAGGCACCCAAAACCCACTGCAAAACCCCCAAACCCACCCAAACCACCCACCCAAACCTGCCCTAAACCCACCCCAAATCCACTCAAATCCACCCAAAACCCTCCATCAAAACCCACCCCCAAACCCCCCGAAAAACCACCCAAAACCCCATTGAAAACCACCCACCTAAACCCACCCAAATGCACCCAAAACCCACCCAAACCCACCCCAAATCCCACCACCTAAACCCACCCAAATGCACCCAAACCCACCCAAACCCACCCAAATGCACCCAAACCCACCCAAACCCACCCCAAAACCCTCCATCCAAACCCACCCCAAACCCACCCACCCAAATCCACCCAAAAGCCACCCAAAACCCACCCAAATCTGCCCCAAAAACCCACCCCAAAACCCACCCAAATGTACCCAAAACCACCCACCCAAACCCACCCAAAACCCACCCCAAATCCACCCACCCAAACCTGCCCTAAACTCCACCCCAAATCCACCCCAAAACCCACCCAAAACTCACCCAAAACCCTCCCATCCAAACCCACCCAAACCCACCCAAACCCACTCAAATCCACCCAAACCCACCCAAATCCACCCAAACCCACCCCAAATCCACCCAAAACTCACCCAAAACCCTCCATCCAAACCCACCCAAAACCACCCAAACCCCACTCAAAACCCACCCAAAACCCACCCCCAAATCCACTCAAACCCACCCAAAACCACCCAAAACCCTCTCCTTTCTCACCCACTCACTACGGGCCACACCCACCCAGGCCACTCCCACCCACCACACCCACTGAGGCCACTCCCCATCGACCACACCCACCCAGGCCACTCCCCACCCACCACACCCACCCAGGCCACTCCCTTCCACCACACCCACCCAGGCCACTCCCCACCCACCACACCCACCCAAACCACTCCCCACCCACCACACCCACCGAGACACTCCCCACCCACCACACCCCCCGACCACACCCATTTAGGCCCCCGCCCCTGGCCACGCCCCCGGGGCTCACCCTGCACCGAGAGCTTCTCGATGGCGCGGCGCTCGCCCCGGCTGCAGTGGGGGGGCAGCGAGTACCCCTTGATGGAGCGGCCCGTGCGCACCCTGCTGCTCAGAACGTACTTGGGGTCCAGGTCCTCGCCCCCCTGGGACCCCAAAATATCACTGATGAGGGGCTGGGACCCCCCCAAAAACACCCTGAGCTCCCCCCGAGAGACCCCGGGGGATGGAACCCCCCAGCACCCCTGAACTGCCCCGTACGCACCCGGCTGCTCAGCACGTACTTGGGGTCCAGGTCCTCACCCCCCTGGGACCCCAAAATGTGATTGAGGGGGTGCCAAAACCCCCTGAGCCCCCCTGAGCCCCCTGGAGCCCCTAGGACCCTGAGACCCCCAGTACCCCTTGATGGAGCGGCCCGTGCGCACCCGGCTGCTCAGCACGTACTTGGGGTCCAGGTCCTCGCCCCCCTGGGACCCCAAAATGTGATTGAGGGGTCCAGAACGCCCTGAGACCCACAGAACCCCCTGAGCCCCCTGAGCCCCCATGAGCCCCCAGTACTCCCTTGATGGAGCGGCCCGTGCGCACCCGGCTGCTCAGCACGTACTTGGGGTCCAGGTCCTCACCCCCCTGGGACCCCAAAACATCGATCAGGGGGCTGGGACTCCAAAAACACCCTGAACTCCACAGAACCCCCAGGACCCTTGAACCTGCCCCGTGCGCGCCACCCGGCTGCTCCAGCACGCACTTGGGGTCCAGGTCCTCACCCCCTGAGACCCCAAAATATCACTGAGAGGGGCTGGGACCCCAAAAACCCCTGAGCCCTCCCCCTGAACCCCTGAGCCCCCAGGACCCCCAGGACCCCAGGACCCCCAGGACACCCCAGGACCCCTCCCCACCTTGGAGGTTCTCGTGGTTGAGGTCTGTTTTGTGTTTGTCCGTGGGTTTGTACCCCCAGCCCAGGGACCCCTGACCCTGCAGACCCTCCTCACCTCAGGGACCCCCAGGACCCCCTGAGCTCCCTAGGACCCCCAGGACCCCCAGGACCCCCCAGGACCCCCAGGGACCCCTCCCCACCTTGAGGTTCTCGTGGTTGAGGTCAGTTTTGTGCTTGTCCGTGGGTTTGTACCCCCAGCCAGGGACCCCTGACCCTGCAGGACCCCCCTCACCCCTGAGCCCCCCCAGGACCCCCCAGGACCCCACCAGGACCCCTCCCCACCTTGAGGTTCTCGTGGTTGAGGTCAGTTTTGTGCTTGTCCGTGGGTTTGTACCCCCCGTGCCTGTCCTGGATCACGGGGTCGAAAAGCTCCTTGAACACCTCGTAGGACTCCTCGTCCCCCGCCACGCAGCCCACGGTCATGATGAACGGGTGGCCTGGGGGGAGACCAGTATGGGACCAGTTAGGGACCAGTATGGAACCAGTATGGCACTGGGATGGCACTGGGATGGGGCACTGGGGGTCACCCACGGTCATGATGAACGGGTGGCCTGGGAAAACCAGTATGGGACCAGTTAGGGACCAGTATGGAACTGGGATGGCACTGGGACCAGTTAGGAACCAGTATGGAACCAGTATGGAACCAGTATGGGGCTGGGATGGCACTGGGATGGCACTGGGATGGCACTGGGATGGCACTGGGGGTCACCCACGGTCATGATGAACGGGTGGCCTGGGGGGAAAAACCAGTATGGGACCAGTATGAGACTGGGATGGGGCACTGGGACCAGTTAGGAACCAGTATGGAACCAGTATGGAACCAGTATGGGGCTGGGATGGCAC